ATAAGTAACTATTTTAAAAGAATGAAAATCGAAAGATTTTATAAATTTAATATTTAAAAATAATCTATCATTGAAAGATTAGACTCAATGCTTAATAAGTATTTAATTTTATTTAATGTATAAATAATACTTTATAATTAATTTTCACCTATTCGTTTAAGGATCTAAACAAAATTCAATCTTCTCTAAAGGAAAAACGATTATTAAAAACTCAAAAATATAATTAGATTACCCATTTAATTGGCTGATTAAAATATATTTCCAGAGTGAATATTACAATCAGAACATAAAAAAACATCTTTATAATTCACATCCAACATGGTGGTTAAAAACCTTGTAAAATTCTATCACTTACAAGTTAGGGACGGAGATATAATTTTAGTTTAATAGTATTTTGATCTATGTAAAAGCAAATCTTTAAATTTAAAAAAATATAAAAATTTATTAAATATTTAATCAAGTAGTGGTCGAACTAAAGAATGATAAGTATGTGTTCTCAAGTTTTTAGTCTAATTACAATTTAGGTCATTGTAAGTTTAAATATTAGACAAATTAAAAGTTGTCTTGTGAATTTTTATTATAAATTTAAGGTGAATACATGTTAGTATATGTACAAAGACTTTCAATTATTTGACAGTAAACACTCATACCCCTACATATGTAGTGCTTCAACTCGGGACCTCAAAGATAACAACAATCCCCTTAATCACTAAAGTCGCTTATTCATACTGAATTTCGAGTTTAAATACCTTATAATTCTTAATATTTTTCTTAAATAGTCTAATATTTCGAGCCCTGTCAATATTTAATTTTAGCTCCATACATTCTTACAAGTACGAAGTCCATCGAAAAGTTTTGATAAATTTTATACAATAATGCTAAAGTACATGCCCCAAAAATTGGATAAAGATGTTGGAAAAAGAGTACTAGAAGATGAAGATGAACTCAAGGAGTGGGGTTGAAATAGCGGCGGATCCAATAAAATATTTGAGGCTGACACATATATATTAACGATACATTTTTTTTAATAATGTTAACATAAATAAAATTTCAGAATAGAAACTATCCATAAATAGGTTATTAATTGAAAAAAATATTAGATTTTATAGTGGGTACTATCAATAACTAGGTGACTAATATAAGAAAATATGAATTTCAGGGCAAGTGTCCACCTTCAACCATGAGTGCATCTGCCACTGGGTTGGTACGACATGCATATGTTTGGTCCAACAAAGTGTAATGAGAGAATGTGGTGGAATTAAGAGACTTTGTCAAGTAGTATCCAGGCTTTAATAGAGTGAAGTTTAGTTCAATTATATATAAATATTATTATCTAAATTTAAACTTTTATTTTTAAAAATCAAATCATTTGAGTCTGACCAAATTTATCATGTACGTTTAAAATATCAATAATTTGAATTTAAAGTTTAAGTCAACAAAATTTCTTGTTATTTATAAAGGACTTGAATAGTTGAATTCAAGCAATTATCCTGCCTTATGGTTTGTTATACTAATATTTTAGATAGAGTAGTAATTTAATACAAAATATTAAAATTACATTCATAAATATATAAATTCAAATGAATTTATGAATTAACCCGTAGTAAATTAGAACTCGACTTATTCAACATTTCACTATTAACTCAAGAATAATGAAATTTAATTTTGTTCAAATCAAACTTTTAAATCTCATTTCCACCCTCATATAAAAGTGTTTCCTTTGCGAAGAACATTGACGATGAGTGGGGACTGGGGGTGGTGAAGGGTACAAATAAAATGCGTCATTGGCTCATTGGCTGCTCTCATTATCCATCTCCACTCAATGTCTTTATATTTGTAGACCCTATACTCTCCAAATTTTAGCATCAGACACTTCTTTTGCTTCCGTTTTTCAGTTTCATTCATTATGTGAACCATCATCTTCTTTCCTCTATCTCTTACCATACACCATAGTTTTTTTTTCAAAAGAATAACGGTAGTTAGTAGTTAGTACACTTAATTTCATGTAGGGGGGATGGACAAATACTTGGCAGACTAGGTCCAACAACGTATCTAGATTTGATTGGTAACTTGATACTGAAGTAAAAAATAATAATCTCTTGGGATAAACTTCAAATGAGAAAACAAGAGCAGGAAGATGTGAGGTTTTTACTCCAATTAATAAGCATCTCAAAGTGAATGATTTTGCGAGGTATTAAGTGGACTATTAAAAGCCTGAAGTCTCCTTTTCCACAGACCACTCATGTTCATACCTATATAAATTCTTCCAACAAGTTCATTCAAATTATAATTCAGTGAAATTGATAAAATGGGATCCAGGTGTTATTTGGTCGACATGTCTTTTGGAGATACGGTCAATTGTCTCTTAGCTTTCCAACATTACTTGAAAATCGTCAATCCGATATCGGAAACTCAAGATATGTCCATTTTAGTGAAGACAACGTACGCAGAAATTCCAATACGGGATTTTGTAAATATTATGAATTATCAATATTTGTATTTATTATTTATATAATTTAATATAGGATGATGCATTATATTTTAGGATTAGATTTATTATTTTATTAGAAATTAAGATAGAGCTAAAATATTATTTTTCAGTTTATTATTATTTTATTAAGAATTAGGATAGAATCGAAATATTAACTTTAGTTTATTATTATTTTATTCAGTAGTTACTTAAATTTATAGAACTCCTCACCCTATATAAATGAAGCTCCATTCACCATTGTAAAACATATTTCTTTGATTAATAATACAATGAGAGTTCGTTTTTACAAGAGTTGATTGTCTTATGCCTTCGAAGCATTCTTCATCATTAAGTTCTTCCTAAGGGAGATATTCACACTCCAATTTGCCTTCTTATTACAATTAGAAGGGCTAGTTAAAGTCAGTTATCGAGTTTGCCTAATCAATTGTGATTATGAGGGTTCGTAGGAAAAATATCTATCAATCACTATTACTATCATTATCATCGTCATCGTCATCATCCAAATAGCAAACTCGCCCACCACCATCCAAGAATAATTTTGCAGAAACCTTAATTTTGTCTAAGTCATCCTATCTTTATCGTCTTTATCTTTGTTTACCTTATTATCGCAATGTTCACTATCTTCATATTAATCTCTTGTTATTTTACTTTTCTAGTAACTTTCTTTCACATTCAAAACCTTAGATTGTAACAACAATTTAATCCATCTTCCATCTCGTTCTTTGATTGAGTCTAGACTCCTAGGCTTGATTCTTCAACTATGAGAATCATCACTCCGCCGTCATCCCCTATCATAAATACCTTTTAAAGTTCTTAAACTAATCTTGAATGTATCAATTTGGATAGTACTTTACCTTGTTTAAAAATATAAACAATATTGAATTTGGTTTTAAAAATAAAATATTAAACTTATTTTAAATTGTTTTAAAAATATAAAAATATTAAAAGTTAATATCATTTGAATATTTTTTATTTCTTAATTTTTATACAACTAATAATATTTTAAGATAATAAATGTTGTTGTAATAACTAACTCAAATGGAGCAGTTGACTTAGCGTTTTGGGCACCTCATTTCCATCCTAGAGAACCTGTGTTCAAACCCTCCCCAAAATGCAAGTTATCATCTATTTATTTTCTTTCCAATTAAAGGTGACACGTGTCACCGTATAGTTGGATAGAAAATAAATTTAATTAAATAAATTAAAATTAATAAAAAAAAATTCATGTCACTAGTGTCACGTGTCACCTCATGATTAAAGGATTAATTTATAAAATTAAACTTAAACTAGGACTAAATTAATAGAATATACAAGTATTGAATATTAAATGTGTAATTATACAATTTTTTTAGCTTCCACGTCACTCCTCTGTTAGATTTTAACGACAGATGACTTAAATGATACCCACTTAAATAGTTCAATTGTCATATTGACACAAATTTGAAAATGGTGGACATTTTCATACCAACCCCATAGTTGGATAGTCATTCAAGTAGTTTACCCTATATTTTATTATTAGTTTAGGTTCAAATACTCGTTTGAATGATTTTGTTTCTTTGTTTTTTAATCATTAACAATATTATAAGAAAAATTTAGTTTGTTGTAATACTTAACCAAATGAAGCTTTTGGCCTAGTGACTTGGGCGTTCTTCTTTTAATCAAGTGACCCAAGTTTAAACCCCCTAAATGCAAGTTATCTTTGATTTATTTTATATTCAATTAGGAGATGACATGTATCACTATTTGATTAAATAAAAAAAATAAATTAAAACTTATAAAAAACATCTAATCAGGAGTTGACACGTGTATATGTGATATGTGTCATGATCATATGTTGACACATGCCACTTTATGATTGAATGATTAATTTATTAAATAAAATTAAAATCAAGACCAAATTGATTGAATGTACAAGTATTGATGATCAAATACGTAATTATACCAATTTTGTTAACCACTATGTAAGCACTTACATATGGTTGTATTGGAACCAATTAAATAGTTAAGTGATCAGACTGACTCAATTTTGAAAATAGTGGTCACATTGACACTAAACCCATAATTGGGTGGTCATTCATATAGTTTACCCATAAGATAAAAACAAGGGTGAAAAAATTATTAAATGAACCCAACTCATCACGTCATTGTTGATCCAACCAATAACATTTTTCTATCTCATTTTCTTTGTAAATATACATCTTCACCTATTTCCTACATACAAATAAAAAATGAACAATTATGTGAAATTTATTTTTAAAATTGACGAGTGTGATCATGGAAGATGCGGTGAGTTTAACTATAAAAAAATTTCTACAAGGAGTGATGTAACCATTTCCCTTTTGTTTGTCAAGGGGGCAATGAACCATTAGAGCATGGATTTACGCATGCTACTCTACAACTAACACCTTTCTGCCCTCCCGCGTTATATATGCACACCAAGTCACACCCGCAAATTGTCTCTCTTTTACTTTCTCCATTTCTCTTTGTTCATTGAAGCAGAGGATATTTGCTTTGTTCCTTTCAAAAAAATGGAGGGAGATATGGAAATCAAACAATCAAAGTTCAAGAGAATCTGCGTGTTCTGTGGGAGTAGCCCTGGAAAGAGAAGCAGTTATAAAGAAGCTGCTATTGAGCTCGGCAGGGAATTGGTACTTGCCCTCTGCCCTCTTTAATCCCGCATCTCTCTGTTTTTTAATGTATTTTTCTTAAACAAGCTTTCAAATTGTTCTTGAATTGCTTTCTTCTTCACTTTTCTATCTTTTTTCACTTCTTTTTAAAAATTTACGTCCTTACCCTGTTTTGGTCATGCTTGCATGCCTTTTCCATTTGCTACTTTCTACTTCTTCACTGATAATATTTACAGTGATTTCCTTGGAGTATTATTTTCAGCTCCATCTCTTCATCAAATTGTTTGCTCCTCTGCCTATTCTTTAAACTTCGTCTAAGAGTTGAAGTTGTTAATCAATGTGAACAGTGATTACCTTGGAGTAATTTTAGCTTAGTTTGATTGGGGATTAACATAAACAAAATTCATTTCACGAAGTAAACTAAAGCGTACGTTGATGAAAATACCAGGTGTTGCAGATCTTATTTTGTTCATTCCAAAGAACATATTGAAATGTTAGCTTTTCCCTTTTACTTTTCCAAATGAAGGTTTCAAGAAACATCGATCTGGTTTATGGAGGAGGAAGTATTGGACTAATGGGTTTGATTTCGCAAGCAGTTTTTGATGGTGGCCGCCATGTCATTGGGTAGGCATTTCTTCCTTTTCTGATATTCAAAGAATCAAAACATATAGCATAAAAATGGATTGATTGAGTTCTAATGTTGTTCTTCGTGTTTAATATCTGCAGAGTGATTCCCAAGACACTTATGCCAAGAGAGGTACGTCTTCCATTTGCATTCCATGTTTTGAATTAATATTACCTTCAATAAACAGTAGTCTAAAGAAGAAGAAGAATATCATCAGCCACTCTTTTTTTGAAAATGAAAATAGGTATTAATTCTCTTTCTAGTGGTAGCTCCCATGACATGAATCTCTACCTCACTTTTGTAATCTTTTAAGAATGGATTTTTACACTTTCTCCCATTTGACACTCATGCAGATATGCAGGTTTCAATATAGACTTTTTGGCTGGTCTTGAAATTATATGTTCCCCTGTTTTTTCACCCTTTTTTACTTTCTTTCAAATGAAACCTCGTCAATGAATTCCATTCCATTTGAGTGCATGGACGAATGGAAAATTTTAAGTTAAGAGGTTGCAAAATTATTTTATCAATAGAAAATATAAATAAAATATTTAAATTATATGAAAATTTGAAATGTCCAGTACCTACTCTCGGTCCATCTCTGCTTGAGTGTGCACGTGGGTTTTCACCATTTCTATTGTCCCCTCTCCAATGGTGTTTATTAGCCGCCCACCACCAAGATTCTCGTTCTTAGTATAAAATCAGGTTTAAATGGTGCTTGCATTATCTTCTCTTTGCTTTTTTCCTTTTCCTTTGTTGTTTGCTGTGAAATGGGTGTTGATTTGCCAAGCAAACCCCCAAGTAACAGTATGATGATTTAGGATTGAGCTCACCACTTGTGCTACTCTCATCATTGCTTTTCCAGTGAAGAAAAGCTTTTTTATTTATCTCTCACTGAAAGTTGGTATTATATTGACTTTGCTTTGTATTGTCTTTGATCAAACATTTGCAGATCACTGGAGAAACAGTAGGGGAAGTTAAGGCAGTAGCAGACATGCACCAAAGAAAAGCTGAGATGGCTAGACAATCTGATGGCTTCATTGCCTTACCCGGTCGGTATACAAACCTCAACCACTTTTCTTAATTTAATTATTTTCCGTATTATATTCTGATTTCGTGTCGAATCCGAAATCATCTAAATTACTGTACTTTAAACCTTCATGTGGTGAGAATGCAATGATCTATCCTTTCTACTAGATATTATGAACTGAAAAATTGTGAAACACTTGTTTTATCTTTATCAAAAAATGGTTCTTCCTCTATCCATGTCAGAATTGTGTACCATGCCCTTAAACAATCATTGTTTCTATCTGACAGTGTCCCTTGGAGGTCCTTTTCCTGGACCACAACATCTGGGTCACTCCCCTACTTTTAAAGCCCTTGCCTCTGCCTCTCTTTGTCATAAATCTTGGACTTGGGTTAATATGAAAACCCATTAATTTAGGCCGATGTGTTGTATTTTGTGAAGGTGGATATGGAACTCTTGAAGAACTTCTTGAAGTCATAACCTGGGCCCAACTTGGAATCCACGATAAACCGGTATTTTTTTATCCCATTTTTCTATTGGAAAATTGGTATTTATAGTTGGAAATGTAGATTAACGTAAATGATGTGTTGAAATTGAAGGTGGGATTGTTGAATGTGGACGGGTACTACAACTCGTTGTTGTCATTTATTGACAAAGCAGTGGAAGAAGGTTTCATCAGCCCAAATGCTCGCCATATCATAGTCTCGGCTCCCACTGCAAAAGAGCTGGTCCAGAATATGCAGGTTTTGTTTTTGATTCTTTACCCATTAATTTTCCATTAGTTTTTGCAAACCCCCCCTTTTTTAAAAAAAAAAAAACTAACATTTTTTTTAATGTTTAGGAGTATGAAGCACGACACGAGATAGTTGCTTCCAAGTTAAACTGGGAGACGGAACAATTAAATTATCCAACAAAATATGAAATTTTGTGATGAACAAAATTATTTTTAATAAGCGACAGAAAAAACTAATTTTAGGAGATGAAGATTTTTCCTAGAATATATGTATAGATAGGAATTGGAAGTGTATTTACTCATTTCCCGACAAACTTATGAATACCCCAATTAATACCTTTTATGGTTTTGAAGTTGAGCTTTGATTTATGTAATTGTCACGGACCACGAGCCCACAACCGAGGTTAGCCCATGAAGAGCAGCCCAAGTGGTGTTTTGGACCTTCTAGAAGCCACAAAGACTTAGGTGGCATTTAAATATGTATAGATAATGCCCACTTGTTTTTGGTAGGTAAAGATTAATCTCAACCGTCGATGTAATTAGATCTTAGCCGTTCATTGAGGGGAGCTTTAGCTATAAATAGAGGCCTCCCCTCCTCATTTGTACTCACTCCTTCACTTTGAGAAATCATAAGAGCATTCTTCTCTCAAAGCTTTCTTATCTTTCTTCTTGTGCTAGTTCTCTTGTCTAGCTTCCGTCGAGGTTCTAAGCATCCTTGCTTAGGATATTTTCAGGCTTACTTAGCCGCAATCACTAAGAAAGCGACTAAGGCCGCACGTTCCGAGGCGTCGAAGTTCTAAGGGCGTGACAAGTGGTATCAGAGCCTGTTTTACAAGAGATGGCACAACACAACCAAGACGAGGTCCCCACAAGCGAAGTGATGGAGACTCGCGCTGCAGTGGCAAAGAAACGAGGGAGCTCGAAGGATATCGTGGCCTCGTTTGAGCAAAGGGTCGGTAGATTAGAAGACCGATATAATGAAGTCCAAGAGACTCAAGACTCAGTTGAATCTCGCTTAGAGAAGGTGGAGTCCGTAGAGGATATACTCCGTGAAGAAACTCAAGCACTCATCAGCGAGTTGACGGATAACGTAGACGACCGTACCAGAGGCCTCGAGAGCATGTATTTGGCCATGAGGGCCGAAATAATGCAGGAGGTAAAGGAGCTCAAGAGCGAGCTGCTCGTCTACAAGGCTGCCGTGCTGAATGGAGTGACTGGGGAGGCGCAAGCACAAGACCCAGGTCGACATCCCTAAGCCGAAGGAGTTCAAAGGGAGTCGGACTGCCCAAGATGTGGAGAATTTCTCTGGGGCATGGAGCAATTCTTCCGAGGCATGGTATCGGGGATGATACCACCAAGGTAAATGTTGCTTCCAATTATCTTACCGATGTTGCTATGTTATGGTGGCGTCGTAGGTGTTCCGAGATACAAAACCAATCGGGACGTGGGAGGAGTTCGTGGGAGAACTCAAGGAGCATTTCTATCGAAGAATGCTGTGCTCGAGGCTCGAGCAAAATTGAAACAATTAAAGCATGACCGATCCATCTTGGAGTATGTCAAAAACTTCACAGAGATCAAGATCAAATCCCGGACTTGGCGAGTCCGAAGGTTACTTTGCATTTATGGATGACTACAACGTTGGGCCAACATGGAGATCCAAAGGAGGGGAGTGACCGAACTCTCCAAGGCATTAGATGCAGCCGAGGCTATGCCCCGTTTGAAGTAAAAAGGACGACTCTCTCCAATCCAGGTCGAAACCCAAAGGTAATAGTGGGGAGAAAAGGCCAAAGGAAACTTTCACAAGCCAACGGGAAATCATGGGAAGCCGAATGATCGACCAAAAGCTCTTCAATCCTTGGGAAAAAAGGGGAATTATCATGCTTTTCTTGTGGAGGAAATCATATGAAACGAGACTGTCCTCAACTTGTGAAAGTTGCTGCCATCAAGGAGAATGACGGGGTGGGAGAGTGAGACTCTCAAACTTGGCTCCATCCTTAGCACCATGGAGGTCAAGAAAGGCCGCAGAAGAAGGGATTGATGTACGTAGACATCACCGTCGCAGGCCAAAAGATGAGCGCACTAGTGGACACAGGTGCCTCAGAATTGTTCATGTCCGAACAAATTGCCAAGAGACTTGGCCTTCATGTGGAGAAGGCAACGGGATCCATCAAAACCGTGAATGCCGAGGAAGTTCCAATTGCGGGGGTCGCAAGGGAATCGAGCTAACCGTCGGAGGTTGGTCCGGAAAGGAAGCCATCAAGGTAATTCCTCTCGACGACTTCGATTTTGTTCTTGGGTTAAGTTTTTTTGGACCGAATAAATGCTTTCCCAGTACCTTTTGCCGATTGCTGTGCATCCTGGATCCAAGCAACAATGCATTGTTCCAGTAAGCGAGGGCCTGGAATCGAGGCAAGATGTTATCCGCAATCCAATTCTCAAAGGGGGTGGCAAGGAGGAACCCACCTTTGTGGCTTCATTGGTGGAAACCGAACCCACAATGACCGAGGAAGTCCCCAGAGAAGTGGACAAGTATTGGCGGAATTCAAAGATGTGATGCCTGCTAAGTTACCCAAGAAGTTACCTCCAAAGAGAGGTGGATCACAAGATTGAATTGGTGGAGAATGCAAAGCCACCCGCTCGGGCCCCTTACCGAATGGCTCCACCCGAGTTAGAGGAGATGCGTAAACAATTGAAGGATCTCCTCGATGTCGGATACATCCGACCATCCAAGTCCCCCTATGGTGCACCGGTGCTATTTCAAAAGAAGCACGATGGTTCTCTACGGATGTGCATAGATTACCGAGCTTTAAACAAGCTCACAGTAAAGAACAAGTATCCCATTCCCCTCATTGCGGACTTGTTCGATCAACTTGGTGGTGCAAGATGGTTCACCAAGCTAGATTTACGATCAGGCTATTACCAAGTCAGGATAGCCGAAGGAGATGAACCGAAGACAGCTTGTGTGACTAGGTACGGTTCTTATGAATACCTTGTGATGCCATTTGGCCTCACGAATGCTCCGGCCACCTTCTGCACATTGATGAACAAGGTACTACAACCCTTTCTAGATCATTCGTTGTAGTTTACCTTGACGATATTGTGGTGTACAGTAAGACCTTAGAGGAACACATCGAACATTTGAGAAGAGTGTTCCAAGTCTTACGAGATAACGAGCTCTATGTTAAAGAGGAAAAGTGCTCGTTCTCAAAAGGAGGTTCCATTCCTAGGCCATGTCGTTGGAGGAGGCAAGCTCCAGATGGACAAAGACAAGATCCGAGCGATTGATGAGTGGAAGCCACCCACCAAGGTAACTGAATTACGAGCATTCTTGGGGTTAGCCAATACTACCGACGGTTCGTGAAGGGCTATTCCAAGATCGCAACACCTTTGACTGAGCTACTCAAAAGGACAAGGTGTGGGAATGGAGCCCGAAATGTCAAGACGCTTTTAAAAAGCTCAAGGAGGCCATGGTGAATGAGCCCGTGTTGGTGTTGCCAGACTACACCAAGCCTTTTGTAGTCTTCACTGATGCATCCGATGTTGCCATTGGTGGAGTCCTCATGCAAGAGGGACATCCGGTTGCATACGAGAGCCGAAGCTCAACGAGACCGAGAAGGTACTCGGTTCATGAGAAGGAGATGACGGCAGTTATACACTGCTTACGCACATGGCGACATACTTGCTTGGGTCCAAGTTCGTGGTATTCACGGCAATGTTGCCAACAGTTACTTCCTCACCCAGAAGAAGCTTTCTCCAAGCAAGCTCGTTGGCAAGAGTTTCTTGCCGAGTTCGACTTTTCCTTGGAGTACAAGCCCGGGAAGGTGAACTGTGTTGCAGATGGCTTAAGCCGGAGGTATGCCATCGAGACTGTGGAAGGTACTCTTCTCGAGAGAATCAAGGAAGGATTACCCCATGATCCTGTGGCTGAACGAATCATCGAGGGAGCCAAGGAGGGGCGAACCCGAGAGTTTTGGCTCGAAGAAGAATTGTTGTACCACCGAGGCCATCGTCTCTTTGTGCCTCGATATGGGAAGTTACGCAAGGAGCTCATAAAGGAATGCCATGATTCAAGTGGGCGGGACACCCGGGAGTTGATCGGACTATGGCCCTACTTTCGGAGAAATACTATTGGCCGCACATGGCTGAAGATGTGCAGGCCTATGTGAAGACTTGTCTTGTATGCCAACAAGACAAGATCGAGGCAAAGAAACCGGCGGGACTGCTACAACCGTTGCCCATTCCCGAGCGCCCATGGAGAGTATTTCCATGGATTTTATAATTGGTTTGCCCAAAACTGATGGACTTTCAAGTATCATGGTTGTGGTTGACAGGTTTTCGAAGTATGCGACGTTCATACCCGCATCTAAGGTGTGTCCAGCTGTAGAGGCCGCTCGACTTTTCCTTAAGCACGTGGTGAAGTACGGGAATGCGAAAACCATCATTATGACCGGGACACACGATTCACTGGGAGGTTCTGACGGAGTTGTTCAAACTGATGGGATCGAGCTTGAACTTTCCACCGCAGTTCATCCACAAACCGATGGGCAAACTGAGCGAGTGAATGCTCTGTTAGAGATTTATTTGAGGCACTACGTGAGTGCCAACCAACGAGACTGGCCAAAGCTATTGGATGTGGCCCAATTTTCCTACAACTTGCAACGGAGCGAGGCGACAAACCAAGTCCGTTCGAGATCGTGACCGGGCAACAACCATTGACCCCAACACGGTTGTTACCAAATATGAGGGGCCCAATCCATCATCACACAACGTTGCCAAGGAGTGGCACGAGCAACACGACTTAGCCCGAGCTTGTTTGAACAAGGCAGGAAAACGGACCAAGAAGTGGGCTGACCGAAAACGGAGGGATGTAAACTTTGAAGTGGCGACCTTGTCCTTGCAAATTGGCCAACGTTTTGCGCCATGCGGACGTGCACAAGGCGCTTGTTCGAAGATACGAGGGTCCCTTTCGAGTCGTGAAGCGAGTAGGCACCATGGCCTACAAATTGGAGTTGCCTCCAACCATTCGAGCGTATCCCGTCATCCATGTTAGCCTGCTCAAACATA